TTCTTTTCAATAAATAAATTTTTTGGCTTTGAAAACATTCTTTATTGCATTAAGTAAAAGATACCGTAGCCCAGGAAAGCAACAGGCACTGCAAGTCAATGCATCATACGTAGCAAACAAGGATGCCTACTAGCACTGGAACCACTGCACTTTACTCCCGTGCAGGGCACCAAACGTTACTGGTGGCTTTCAGCATCACATCACTCCCTCAAGGCATCCCTAATCCTTACAGCCCCACTCTGGGTTCCTCTAATAGCTCTGGTCTCTGGCTGTTCAAATTCAGCCTCCAGGTGTTGAACCTCCGTGGTCCATGCCTGAGTGAAGCTTTCACCTTTCCCTTCCACAAATATTATGGAGGATACAGCACATGGCCATAACGTGGGGATGTTGTCATTGGCCAGGTTCAGCTTCCCATACAGACAGCGCCAGCGGCCTTTTAAATGGCCAAAAGCACACTCAGCAGTCATTCTGCACCGACTCAGCCTGTTGAACCTCTCCTTGCTACTGTCAAGGCTCCCTCTGTAGGGTTTCATGAGCCATGGCATTAAAAGGTAAGCGGGGTCTCCAAGGATCACAATGGGCATTTTGACTTCCCCTACAGTCATCTTCTGGTCTGGGAAGAAAGTCCCAGCTTGCAGCTTCCTGAACAGGCCTGTGTTCCAAAAGATGCATGTGTCATGCACCTTTCCGGACCAGCCTGCGTTAATGTCCATGAAACACCCACAGTGATCCACAAGCGCCTGGAAAACCATAGAGAACTACCCCTTCCGATTTATGTACGGAGTCTAGATGATCTGGTGCCAGAATTGGAATATGCATCCCATCTATCCTCCCTCCACAGTTAGAGAAATCCATTTGTGCAAAGCCAGCCACAATGTCACGCGTGTTGCCCAGAGTCATGGTGGTTCTGAGCAGGATGCAATTAATGGCCCTGCAAACTTGCTCATCATCCCAGACTTTCATGATGATGTGATCCCACCACTCAGTGCTTGTTTCCCGAGCCCACAAGCAGTATTCCACTGCGGCGAGCATGTCTGTGAATTCCACAAGCAATCTTGTGTTGTGTGTGTTATGTGAGTCGACATCATTGTCGGACTCCTCACTGTCACTTTGTAGCTTTAGGAGTAACTCGACTGCAATTCGTGACATGCTGGTGAGACCCATCAGCATATTCCTCACAAGTTCAGGATCCATTCCCACAGACCGAAAGGGAAGACAGAGCGCGCAGTACAAAAAGAAGTTGAAAGATGGTGCCAAATGTAGACGGAAGCACAGGGATTCCTGGGATGCATCACAGGGCATTGGGACAGGACCCAGAATGCCCCCCCCTCCCCCCCAGCTCCCTTCCCACAAGCCATGGCACCAGAATGGGAAGAGATGCTCTGTGGGATAACTGCCCATAATGCACCTCTCCCAATGCCGCTACAAGTGCCGCAAATGTGGCCTTGCCAGTGTGCTTGCAGCTGACAGTGTGAACACATGGCAGCGCTCTCCCTACTGCGGTCTTTGAGAACTGGTTTAACTCGCAGCACTCTACATCTGTAAATGTAGCCATGCCCTTAGGCCTTGTCTACACTGCCACTTTACAGCTCTGCAACTTTCTCACTCAGGGATGTGAAAAAACACCCTCCTGAGCACTGCAAGTTTCCATGCTGTAAAGTGTGGGCAGTGCACCAGCGCTGGGAGCTGTGTGCCCAGCACCGGTAGCTACTTCCCTCATGGAGGTGGGCTTTTTACAGCACTGGGAGAGCTCTCTCTCTGCCAGGACTACACAGCCATGTTAAAGTGCTGTCGCAGCAGCATTTTAACGTTGCTAGTGAAGACATACCCTTAGAGACAGAAAAGAAGATGGGATGGGATGAGCTAATCAGGGAGACTCACATTATTTCCCTCTGTCCTAAATTATGCAAGGATGATTGAGGCTGCATTAGGGTTGGAAAAGTGGTGTGGATAGAATTTCCACCCTCTTCCAAACCTTTTGCTTGTTACTTGACTGAACCTTTCTTGATGTTCAAAAATGTTCAACTAATATTTCTTCTGGGTATCTGTATATTTTCACGACAATCTCTGTGTGTCCTCATTCAGGCCAGGGCCAGAAGCCCAAGTGCCAAAATATGCCATGAAAGGCTGCTGGCTGGGGGAAAGGTGGGGGTTGTTTCCAGCAAGACTGGAAGCAGGAAGCCCTGGGATTTCCCTGCCAGAAAGCTTCCAGCTGGGGTAGTCAATAGGCAGGCCACAGGCCAAATCCGGACTGCCAGATACTTTTGAACAGACCCCGAAATCTTTTTGCTAACATATTATTATCATTATTGTTGTTGTTGTTTTTATTATTTTCTCTGGAGTCTGGACCTTGATTATAGCTTGAACAAGAAATTTGGACCTTGACAAAAAATAGACTACCCCTGGAAATGATTGGTACACTAAACCATTTCATAGTTTGGAGAAGAACCGGAGAAGCAAACAGACTTAGGGGTGTGTATGAGAATAGAACATTAGAACCTTTGAGGTTCACCCACTATAATCTGATCACTATTCTCAGAGAAAGTGTCTCAGAGAAAGTGAGAGGCAGGAAGACCGTTTTTTTTTCCTCTTGCTTTAGTGATGAGTGTGTACTGTACTTTTATCCCAGATAGGAATGAAAAGCTAAATGTATCTCTGGCATTACTTCATTGAAATCAGCGGAGTTACACAGGAGATGAAGTTGGCTCTAGCCCTCAATGCATCTATCTCTTCCTGATATGAAAAAATGCCTCATAACTTACAGTGTAGTTAAGAATTCACAACAAGTGTTGATCAGATAAGAGGATCTGTAGGGCTCAAACCTGTATTGTGCGGTAGCCTATATGAATCCACTTCTCCTAACTACACAAAACCTATTGATATATCAGTCACTACAACTCACTGATGTCCAACTAGCAAAGCAGGCCTCATGTTTAGGGGAGGGAACCGCATTCTTAAAATTATTAAGGGGGAGCCTTGTAGCCTGACCACAGACATGGAAGGCAGAAGCTCCTGAGTTTGAAACCTGACACTGACTCTTTCTGTACTTTGGGCCAGTCACTTCACACTTCTGGGTTTCAGTTCCTGCAACTGTAAAAATGGGGCAATACCACCTACTTTGCAGGGGTGTTGGTTAAGTGATAGCAGGTATATAGGAGTCACTGAGAATGCTAACTTTATTCATAACACAGCTTTAAAAATAACAAAGCTTCATATAGTCCATTGTAAATTGACTTCAAAGCACAGGGCAAGTGTGTATCCTCATTCATGCCACAGTGCCAGAACCAAACAGCTTCATTTCCCAAAGTATGTGCCCTGAGGATATGCAAGACACCCTTTTATAACCCTAAAAGCAGGCCTTACTATGTACATAGGCTATGTTAAGGGCCTTTGAGATCAAAGAGAAAGAAATTGAGCTTCTGCGTTTTACTAAGATCCAGGAGGTTTGTATGCTGCAAAGTAGTGTTGAATCATGGCAATTGTGTTGGGCTTTGGCAGTGTTACAACTCCACTAGCAGCACTATCACTGGAGGTGGACTCAGACCTCAAAAGCTGGGTCCAGATCTGGATCATCTTGATTTTGAACGTGAAAAACTCTGGGAGGCATTTGCATATAGTGTGTTGGTTAGGCTGCAACACAACTTCACAGTATTCTGGGCCAGATTTTCCCATGTTGCTCCTTGTGCTATCATTTACACCTGTGAAAGAGGGGTATAAATCACAATCCTCCATTCACTTACGCTGGTTGATGTAGTTTACAGCTGACTTGTTTTCATTTTGCACAGCTGTGAGTGATTACACAAAGTGCAGGCAGCAGAGTATGTTTAATGGGACACTTTATGCGGCATAATATTACGGGATGCTGAAGCCCCTTGCGGACTAAGGAATCCTGTGAACATATAACTTTGTTGGCCCTGGCCATTGACCATAAAATGGCCAGATGACAATCAGCAGCTCCATTTGGCATAAGAACATAGATAGATAAATAGGCTTTGTGATGTTTGAGTGAGTTTGAACAACCTGCCACTTTCCCCATCTCCTCTACTCATACTCAGTGCATGCTTTAGTTGCTACAGAAGAAAGTGCCTAGATGGGATGCTTTTCCAGCCTGGTTTTTGGGAAGCTATTACCTCCTGTATGGTCAGGGCTTCCCTCGGAACATAGGACTCCTGAGGTCATTTGCTTTGACTGGTTCTTTGGAGGGAGTGAGTAGGAGGTGAAATACATGGCTGGATGGTGTCAAGTTGCCTCCCCCGGAGGGTTCCATATGTTCTTAGCAGATGTTTAACAAGTTATCTCAGCACAATTGGCTGTTTTGATAGAAGTTACTATGTGACTGTCTAACCGCTGCTGTCAGAGGTGAAGTTTTCAACCATCTCTCCCTCACCCCAGCATTTATTCCTTTCTCTATAGGTAACAGTGGTTTCCCTCCTTGTAGTTCCTAGTAAGAGAAACCATGAAAAACTCCAATAGTCAAATAAAGTGCTATTTAATGGGTATTTTCCACTGAATGCATCCGATGAAGTGAGCTGTAGCTCACTAAAGCTTTTGCTCAAATAAATTTGTTAGTCTCTAAGGTGCCACAAGTACTCCTTTTCTTTTTATTTAATGGGAGTTTCTCAAGGAACAGTAATCCCCAAAGCTGTTTGTGTGTTTGTTTATTTTTTCAAAGGGAGAAAAGTATTTTACTAAATCTTATGAGAATAGACATTTCAGGATTTTAAATGTCATCTTAAAAAGAGTTTTTAAAAAGTATTTAAGCCTTCTTCCGTATTAGGGTGCTCAATGCAACTGCAGTGAAGCATCATAAAGTGAGAGGAAGGATGTTCTGGTAAATAAGTAAGGCCCTACCTGTATCGTGGGATGATTTTCAAATAATTGTGGATGAATTGTGGACAAGACATGGAAAATCGCGGAAAAGTAATAATGAACCTTTATTAACAGCACTAATTTGGAAAAGCCAAAGTAGACCTATTTGTTTAAGAAAAAAAATTGCTGGAACGATATAAACACTCAACTATTATGTTATGCCTGATAATATTTTTGATAACCAGATAATTTGGTTCAACTATATTACATTCATTTTTTAAAAAGTGACTGGTACAGTAAAAAATTCAGAATACTAAATATCTTAACACAATTGCTGTTGAAATTAAGTTCAGTCACTTTAGCCATTTGCATTTTACATGCATTCAATGTGCAGTACACTTCGCTACAATTGTCTTGTTCATGCCCTGTTTTTGCTTTGCGAATACTCGTCCATACTGAGATACTGCAGGATTGGCATCCACAGAATTAGACTAGATTGATACTGCTTTGCTGTCTATTCTAACTCTGGAAGACACTGTAGAATTGCAGGTGAATCCCAAAACTCTCCAAGATCATTTAATGTACTAACGGGGGAAAAGTGTGTGTTGCAAACCACAAAACGTATGCAAAATTGTGGACTGTGCAAAGTAAGCTAATAAAAATCAAAATTGTGGTGGAAGCCTAACATTACGGCATCCACAATTTCTGCATTATCACAAATGAAGTAGGGCCTTATGAATAAGGCATTTGACTGGGACTCAGATCTTAGTTCACTTCCTGGATCTGCTACAGACTTTTTGTGTCGTTAGGCAAATCACTGAAATTAGTGAGAGTTAGACACCTAAATATGTTTTCTGATCTGGTTCATGCAGATCTCTGTCTGTTTCCCATCTGTTAAATGGGGATCATAATACTTCCTTTCTCCCACTCTATATCTGTTTCATCTTAGATAAGATTGTTAACTCTTGTACTATGTTTTTTCACAATGGGTTCCCAGTCTTGATTGTAAATAATATGGGGAAATGGGAAGGGAAACTGAGCAGTTGAATTACAGTTTCCAAGCCTAGCAGGTGCAACAAGTATTGATGAGCCTGAGATGCAAACTTCAGCTGTGGATCTCGAGAGGAACTTTTTCAAAGGACAATGCTGTTTTTAATTTTTTTCACTTTGATGACATACAGCCTGGGGTATTGTTAATGATATTGATGTGGCCATAGTTTTTAAGAAATACATTTTATTCTGAGAGTATCCTTTCAGTACAGAGTGTTTAAATTATTACACAGCTCTCTTAAAAGAGTTTTCTTCCTCTGAGTTGAGTCCAAGGATTCATTCAGTCTTTGTTTCTGGAGTTTTGGTTCTAGGGATTCCTGAGAGTTCTTCTGTTTCATATCACAGCTTCAAAAAGAGTGGGAAGGAAGGGGAGGAAGAAACTTGTTTAGCAAAATCGTAATGTCTGTTTGTATCTATCTGAGTATTCTTCATAGAATCAATTGTCTTCAGAAGTAAAAATAGGAATTATGCCATATACAAAAAATAAAGAAAAAGGGCTATGAGTTTTCCAGCTTCACAGTCTCTCCATCTGACCCTGGGGAAACAGAGCAAGGGATGGAACACACGCTGGCAGACTTTTAATTATGAATTTAATGATGACGTCTGAACAAACCCCCTGCTACCGGTATATCATCTGTCCCTCGTGTCACTTTCCCAGGGCCTGATGGGAGAGGCCCTGGGAAAGCAGAGTGATGGTAAATGATGTACAATACTGATTGATGTAGCTTTTATCAGAGCTACAGGAACTTACCGCCTTGGATAATCAGATCACTTATTTAGGAGCCCAACTTTAGAGGATCAAATCTGAAAAGTTTGTGGGAAGCTCTTTGAGGCAGAGATTTTGTTTGTTATATGTTCTCTAAAGTGTCATATAAACTCATGATACAGTTAAGAATAATGTGCGATATCACTGAGCAAGGTAGCTGAAGCCAGTTCCAGGAGCAGTCTGGACAAAAGACTAATAGTCAAGTTCCAGCAAGCTGCTTCCTTCTGCTTATCGGCCTAGAGGCATTGAGCTGTGCTGAGTACGCGTTCAGTACTAGGCACCACAAACAAACTGGACTGGAGTTGGGTCTTTTCTTCTCATGCTTGTAATGCAAGTTAGAGAAGACAATGGAAATAATGAGAGGAAACAGGAGGAGAGAGAGAAGCCTGGAGGCATAGGAAGTGGGAGAGACAAGGGGCAGAAAGAAGCAGAGGGGGGAGACAGGTGGGGAAATAGGAATAGGAAAAAGAGGCAGAAGGGCAGGTAAGGTGTGAGAAGTGGGAAACTGACATGAAGCACACACAGGAAATGGTTTGTGAGCGCTGAATTACACATGGGATCAAATTCATCCGTCGTATAACACCACTGAAGTCAATGGAGTTACCCAGATGAATCTGTCCATTTTATTTTTGGAGTCCTATCACTGCAATTTGTTTGAAAAATTGAAATTAATCAGCTGGATAATAGGGAGTGGTTATTCAGAATAGATAATCTGCTCTATAGTGGAGTGTTGCGGGAGAAGGAGATCATTCACATTGCTGGGAGTGCTATGGCTCTACACACTTCAGGGGCATTTGATCAGATTGTGATAGCCTTGAGAAGGCTGTTTGAGTGGTTTGTGCTGGGATGGATTCAAAACCATCCAACTTTATTTCTTTGTGCGAGATTTTAGATGACTGATAAATCACCTAAATTTGTAATAACAAAAACAGGCAAAATGTCCCTGATACATATTTAATTATACCTGGTAAAATGGGTTTTATTGAAGATTTGGTTTAAGTTTGCAGAGGATGCATTGTATTCTTTATATATAACAGAGGTTGAAACCCTGCTTTAAATGCAAAACTCAACTCAGCCCTAACTGGAGTCACAACCAGTAACTTCAGGACTGAGGAAACACTTCTCAAGTCTCTAAACTCTGGGAGCTTATGTTTCAATAATGGCCCCCCAAATTGTATGGTAAAAGGGTCATTATGTCTATGTGAGTACGTACAAGATTCTGAAAACTGGGGTTACATTTAATTTAGTGCATTTGAACAATGGGGCCCCGCAGAATCAGGATGCAAATCCAGCTTCTGCTTATTTTTTTTTATACACTTTTCCAAAGTAATTTCTGAACTATGATGTCAATACGATAGGGATGGGGGGGGGGAGAGTGGCAGGAGCAATCTCCTGCAATGTGTGCTGAGGACCCCCCTAAAGAAGAAGGGAAGATTATCTACATAAAGTGGACTGTTTAAAATGAGGAGGTATTGGGGAGAACATGAATGTGATCTTGGACCGAAAGATCCATGATCTGTAGTACAAGCTCTCCTTCTGGAAAATTACACAATGGCACCTTGGGTAACGAAGCAAATGAGGAATGTAGCTGTTATCCTGTGTCTAACATGTGCCCCATTCCTCCAGACCACAAAGAGTGGACAGAAGTAGTGCCATGCTGTGACACACACAGTAAAATACAAATGGAAAACCACAGGGCAAAATATAAGAAAATGTGGGATCCTTGAAATAATTTGACAGCATAACCAAGATAAGTATAATAAAGAGAAAAACAAAAATGTACTGATGATGCAGTTTTGTAGTCTTGCTCTGCAATTAGCCAGCAGTGGATTTCAGGGCCATAGTTGTTAAATACTGTGTGTGTCTATACATTAGAAAAAAGACAACATAACCCCCCCCCCCAGCAACCTGTGAAGCGTCCAAATTCTACACACATATGGTGCTGTGTTCCAGACGTACCTGTCTTCCTATTCTCTCTCCATTGTGTTCTTACACTTTCCCGTTGCATCTTGTCCCTCTTGAAGTTGTTCCTCCAAACTCTGAAAGCCTGGACCCCCTTGCCTGTATGGAGCCCTATGGAAGTAAATAGGGTTCCATGTGAACGTGGGGGCTTGCCTGTATCAGACAATGTGCAGATCAGGACTTCATATTGCAAATTCTTTGGGCCAGTATCTGTCTTATTTTATGTGGGGACAGTACCTACCACAAGGGGACCCTGATAGGGACCTCTGCCATCCACTGTAAACCAAAAAATTAATGATGGATGTTGGGGAGAAGGTCACAATGTGCTGAGATCAGAAATCCTGCTACAACCCCCCTGCTATCTGTACTGTCTCTGGAATTACAGCAACTGTACCCACTTGCTGACCCATAGTTTATAACCCCATTACTCTTATTCTTTGGGTTTGGCTCCCAAACTGCATGACATGTTGTTTTATGATGTAACAGGATTTTATGGACCAATAGGGAACCTGGGGCTACAAACACCTATAAGCAGGGTGCTAATATATGCATAATTAGCACTGGGTTCCAGCACCAGTGAGTTACCTGGTGTAATTTAACTGACTTCAGGGGCAGTTACACCAGGGATGAAATTAGCAGCCTAGGACACTTTCTCCTCCCACCTTTGTGGCAGTCCTTCCTACCCTAAGGTGTGTATCATGAAGAAAGGAGACTGTAGCTTAAGTAAAGCCCTTTGGGTGAACCTGGTGCCCCACCCCAAGATGTGTTCACTACATTTTCCCTATTGGAATTCCGGGGGGAGGGTGGGTAGCCTTAATTTACCCTGAGGCTGGGACCCTGCAGACAGGTGGCTTGGGAGGAATCGATAAAGTTCTCTGGGAGGGGCCGGTGTGGGGGAGAAAAACTTGAGATCGGAGAAGAAAAGAAACTTAGGAGGTCACCGGAGGGAAGCAACTGGTTTGCCACGGTGGGAGGAGAAACACCAAGCAGGAAAGTGAAGGAATAACGAATCCAAGGGGAAGGTGAGACGGGGGAAAGCAGGACGAGTCTGCACAGTGCGGGGCGTAGGGAACAATGCGATGAGGGGAAGAAGAAAGAGCAGAGAAGCGGGAGGGGAGGGGGCTCTGGCGGGAGGTGGAGCTGGTTGCAGCTGGCGACTTCTAGCTCTCCCAGGTTGCTGGGCACAGGATCCGCGCAGCGAGTCAGAGCCGAGCGGCTGCAACTGAACGGAGCCCTGCCTGCAGCAGCCCGGGCGGCCGGAGCTCAGCGCCTCCCGAGAGCCCCGGCTGCAACTTGTGAGCCGGCGGCCGCCGCGGCTCTTGCCTGTGGAGAGGCGCCGCCTCCGCCGGCTGCAGCTCTTCGGAAAGTTGCCCCGGCTGCCGGACGGTAAGGGCGTCCCCGGTTCGCACGGTCCTTCCCGGTCCTCGGCGTGTGACCCCGGCCTGTCCTTATCAGCCCCCCCCGGCCTGTCCTTATCATTGCCTCCGGCCTGCCCTAGTCACCCCACACCCCCGGAGCTCCCCCTCCCGGCTTGCCCTAGTCACCCCCAAACCCCCGTAGCGCGGCTGCTCCTGCCTCTATCACCCCCTTCCCCCCCCGTCCTACCCCAGTTACAGCGCAGGTTCCCCCCGGCCTGCCCTAGTCACCCCACACCCCCGGAGTCCCCCGTCCCCCCGGCCTGTCCTTATGCCCCACACACCCTGGAGCTCCCCCTCCCGGCCTGCCCTAGTCACCCCCACACCCCCGTAGCGCGACTGCCCCTCCCCTCCTGCCCCTATCCCCCCCACCCCCCCGTCCTGCCCCAGTTACAGCGCAGGTTCCCCCCGGCCTGCCCTAGTCACCCCACCCCCCTGAGCCCCCCCTCGGCCTGTCCTTGTCACCTCCCCCCGGCCACCCCACACCCCGGTAGCGCGGCTACCCCTCCCGTCCTGCCCCATCACCTCCTCCATCCCCCCGGTCCTGCCCCAGTCATAGCGCGGCTTCCCCGCGGCCTGACCTAGTCACTCCCGGAGCTTCTCCCCCCCCCCCCCCAGGTGCTGTCGTAATCACCCCATACCCCCGGAGCGCGGCTCTCCTTCCCCAGTTCACGCCCACCGTTCCCGGGTTCCCGCTCCAGTCAATAGACACCAGGGCTGCTGCTGCTGCTCCTTGCTCCCTCCCTTCAGCATCCCCCACTGGGGCGCTCTTCGGCCCTCGCTGAGGTCCTTTTTCATTCAATGCGCCCCCCTCCCCTCGCGGCTTGCTGCTCCATTAACCCTCCCCAGTGCTGCTGTCTCCCGCATCCGAGGGATGCTGCTGTCTCGGACGTTTCTAGGGTTTCCTTTGTACCTCCTTGCGCCCTCTTTTTGCCTCGGGACAAGGGAACAAATCTGGGCAGGAGGTTGCCCCCGGGTCACTCGGGTGGCTACGGCCTGGGATGGGCGAGAGGAAGCGGGAAAGGCAGACAGAAGAGCGCTGTGCTTTCTCCTTTACGCCAGAGGCAGCGGGGGTGTTTCTTCGGCTCATCGCCCCCTTTGCCCCGGCAGAGGAGAGAGAAGAAGGTGCCTGTGTGTTGGATGCTGGGCTGCAGGGGTTTGTAAATTTCCCGAGGTTGAAGGGCCAGAGGTGCCTCCCTTGCAGTTGCCCATCTGATTCCTTCCCATGTCTGACTGTAAAAACAGAAAGGTGATGGTAACACCTCTTTCCAAGCTCAGGTTCCCAATGGGGGGAACTCTTGTGTACCAAGACAGGCTGGGCCACATTCATACTAGTTGAATTTGGCCGTATTGTCGTCTCTTCAAGCTGGGTATGGACATGGGTTGCTACCTTTAACATCTCTGCGTGTCTTTTTGCTTCGTGAATCCTGTTACCTCCAGAGGAATTGCTGAATGCGTTTTTCTCTCAAGAGTTACAAAGAGACTGGAATGTTCTGTTACTTATTCATATGTTTCTGGTCATGCTAACACATGAAGTTTCTGGCTAGCCAAATGTCAGTGTTGCCCAGATTTCTGACTTCAGTACAGTAGGAACTATTTAATTCAAATTTTGCTAATCCTCAAACCGTATTTTAAAGGCAGCCCCAGTCTGTCCTCACTTTTCAAAAAAAGAAAATCTAATATCTAATTGCAGAAACAATGCTTTTAGTGAGGTCTGGTGTTACCAAAATGCACACCCAGGGTATTTGCTATTATAGTATGAAGTTTTATCACAAAAAAAGTTAACTACAATTGCCACAATAAATGAACTGATATTTTGTGATGCATCATCCTTGCTTTTTAAATGTTGCTTGATTGGTAACTAATAACAATTAGTGCTTTGCTGTGCTTTCCCATTAGTGATTAGTGATAGCCATTAGTGAGATGTGACTGTATATTGCATGTATTTATAGCATAACAGAACATTCAAACACATGGTGTTATTAATGGAATGAACTTTCTAGCAAGGTATTTCACTTAATAGCCAGTGACTACCAAGGAGGGTCAATGGAAGTCAATTGTAGAATGTCAAATGGCTTGTCAGATAATTCTGAGTGCTAGATAATGCCGGATTCTGAGCTCGGTTTCACCAATATAAATCCAGGGTGAATTTACTGAAGTGAGTGAAATTACTATAGCTTTATACCAGTGTAACAGAATGTGGCACAATGCATTTTACAGTCTTTTCTGGTTAAGGGGTCATTTAACATTTTCAGAAGAAAACAAAGTTTGTTTTCTTTCTTTGTTCTAAAAGTATACAAATCATGAGACTGAAAAAATCTAGCATTAGAACAAGTAGGTATTTTCCTTTAGTCTTTATTTTAGAACATATGTTGTTCTCACAGCTGCTTCTTTCTCTGCCACTTTCTCTGGAGTTCTTTTGCACAGTTGATAAAATTATTTAAATGTGTGACAATCCCTTGAAGGCAGTTAATATTTCTATTATTTATTGCCGCCAGTGTACTATTTTTGTTGGATGCCCACTGGAATACCGTAGAAGACAATTTGCTAGAAAATTAAATTCTTTTTATTTTTAATAGATAAGAAGAGGGTGGGAAAAGGAAAGAAAGATTTGTTTTAATTTCTCCAAGAAATTCCAGACTGCCAGCAAAGTCCAGTTATAATTTCTGTTGAACTTCTCACGCTTTTTGCAAAGGGGAGCCTAGGCAGTGAATCATCTAGCAGCATGAGCTGTGTGCTAAGAATATGGAGATGTTACTGAGTTAGCCACTGTTGTCAATTACCTGAGTAAACATAACCCCTGAAAGTACAGATCCAAACAAAATATGCATTTTTTGGGGCCCATTCCTGTAAAAGTCAGTGGGAGCAACACTGGGCCTTTAAAGGTTTATTTGAATTTGGATTTCTCAGTTCGCATAGCAGGTACTTGCAGGAGATTCATGAAATGATACTGGGATAGAATGGATTCCGATGACGGAGTCCAGTTTTTCCTTGTGATTTACAGAAAAGGTCTTTATTTTCTAGCTTTGTGAGAGTAAAATATCATGGGAAGACCACAAACCCTCCTCCTTCCAAAAAACCTCAATCAGATCCACTGCAACTTAATTTCCCAAAGTGGGAGTTAATAGGGGGCTGATGATTTTTTTTCAGGAAGGAGAAGTAGTATCTGAGAGTTTGCATTTTTTTCTATGTTGAAAGCATCTAATAACTCTATCCCTAGATGATCTCACTTTTGGCTAGTTGAATTGTATTATCCTTTTTGGGGTGGAGCTGGGGGAAAGGGAAACAGGAATTGTGTGCTTATGAAAATGCTGAGCTATCCTTAATTCCATTGCCAAGGTGTGTGTGTGGTGTTTGATTCAAATATTTATTTCATACATGCAGCATTTTAGGTTGGTTTTAAAGAACAGAAACAATATTTGTAACCAAGTGTAACCAGTGGCGGATTAATGATTTTGCCGCCCCTAAGCCCTGAAATAATTGCTGCCCCCATATGAACTTGTTTTTAGTTTTTTTACAAATTTGCGCCGTCATTGGTGGTTTCAATACGCCCTATGATTGGTAGAATCATGGCGTCCATAGACGCTGACTCCGTGGGTGCTCTGGAGCTGGAGCACCCACGGAGAAAAAATTGGTGGGTGCAGAGCACCCACCGGCACTCCCCGCCCCTCCTCAGCTCACCTCCCCTGAGTGCGCAGCCGGGTCCTGCTTTTCCTCGCTCCCTGCCAGCGCTTGTGCGTGAAACAGCTTTGTGCGGCTGGGAGGGAGGGGGAATGTGGTGCGCTCAGGGGAGGAGGCAGGGCCGGGGCAGGGATTTGGGGAAGGGGACCAATAGGGGCAGGGAGGGGGCGGAGTTGGGGCGGGGACTTTGGGGAAGGGGTGGAGTCAGGGTGGGGCTGGGAGTGGGGGGATGTGCGAGCACCCACTGGCGTTGGGGGAAGTTGGCACCTCTGGCTGCTATTATAAATTTGCTGCTCTAGGCCTACGCCTTGTTGGCCTAGGTGATAATACTCCGCTGAGTGTAACAGTGCAGTTCATAAAACAAGAGTAACATCTGTTACTGAGACTTCAATTTGTTACTCTTTGAAGTAGCCAAGTTGACAGTTCAGATAGTTAAGTTTAATGTCCTGTGTTGAACCTTTGGTCTGGCTTAATAGTGACTGTGAAGAATCAATAACTTTAGCTTATGTTCAACTATAGCATGTAAATAGAGGAGTGAGAAGGGTTTAAAATTGCCCGATTTCATGGAGCTAGTCCCTGTTAACAGATGACGATGGCTGATTTTGTGTTTCTGTAACCTAGTTCCATCATTCAGGCTTGCCAACTTGCTGCACTTTACGCATCAGAACGGGCTGGCATCTTGGATTTCTATCAGAGCTATGGCTGAACAAGCTACAGGGTCCTTACTGCTGTCAGAGTTAGTATTTTTCATCCTAGCACTCTTTTATCTTAAGTTAATATATCTGAAGTTCAGTACTGCAGGTGTTTGAAGCAGAGCCATGCCATACTTAGATGTGCATTTATTAGTGGTAGCCTTGCCTTCTCTTACACATTTTGAAGTCTCTTGCCAAAAAATAAATAAATACTAGAGATGGAAAAGTGAGTTAAATGGCTTTCTGTTTCTGTAAATGAATTTGCTTTTCTTTCACCTTTGTTCCCTCTCCCCCTCACTGTCTTATGTAGGATCCTTCCGTAATTAAAATATTATGACTTTCCTTATGGTAGCCCTTCACTTGTGGCGAGGCTCCTAATTTTATGTCATTGAAAAAAATACTAGCAGATGACATTGCATCAGCTAGTCCATGCCCATTTTCTTTTATTAAACCACAGTGCTAAGACCATATGGAAAGATAATGAGTTTAAGATGATAAACAGTTTACAGATTTGCCCAAATAAAGGACTTTCTTCCTAGAAGACACATTTTATTGCAAAATAAATAATCTGGTTCCTCTGTTTTATTTAATTACCTCTAGTCCTGTCTTTTCTCAACCTGCCGTAGGAAAACAGACACAACTGCTTTGTGATCATCAGCTACTGTAGATGTAGGGTCGTAGCTCTTACCTCAGGGAAGGCTTGAAAGAGGGTGTACAGATATTACAGAGATGAGAGACTTGTAAGTATGTGGATGGATGGGTGGCCCAAGTATTGCCCATGGAGTTCTATGATGCAGTGCAGTTTCCCATACCTTGCATATAGCTGGAGAGCATACAAGCCTAAGGTCCACTTGGACCTTGTAGACACAGGCTGCGCCTCCATATTAATGATGAGGGGCTGCACTCTATGCTAATCCTGGGTGGTTCCTAATGAAACTCTTAGTTTGGGGGTTCCAGCATATGCCATCTGAAAGCTGACCCCTCAATTCTTACGGATTTCTCCTGACAAATAATATCCCCTTGTTCTCTCATTGGGGTCTATCTCTCTCTCTGCCAGTGCTTGTCCACTGTGAACAGGGCATCCAGATGTGGTTTCAGATTGAGAAGAAATGTCTGAAATAAAGGTAGGCTCATTGGTAAAAGTTCCTTTGTACTAAGCATGAGGAACGAGGCAGAGAGAAGAGCTTCCAGACTCCTGTCTTTTCCTCATATGTCACTCTCCTAGACATTTTCCAAATGGGGGCACATCACAGGGCTGATGGCCTGAGACACATACATCACAGGTGACTGGCAAGAATTCGGACCAGAAAACCATGGGGGAAGCTGAGCTTTTCATTTTAGGGACTGAGGATTTAAAAAAACAACCACCACCAAAAAACAACACAAAAAACAAATACAAGCAGCTGGATGTGCAAAGTACATCACTGCCTTGCATTCACAGTATGACTGACTTCAGGCTGAATATTTGCACCCATGAGTGTTTCTAGTTAGCTATCTGCATGCATAGTTACCTGCTTTGAATCCATAATTGTAGTAATTGTGTCCAAATGCAAAACCTAACTTTTATGACAATCATAGAATCATAGGGTTGGAAGGGACCTCTGGGTTATCTAGATCAGTCTCCTGCACTCATGGCAGGACTAAGTATTATCTAGACCAGTGCTACTCCAAGTGGTGGTCCGTGGACCGGTGCTGGTCCGCGAGCCATCGGCTGCTGGTCTGCGCGCACACTGGAAAAAAAAATTGCAGGCCCCCACAACAGATAGCTTGAGAAGCACTGATCTAGACCATCCCTGACAGATGTTTGTCTAACCTGCTCTTAAAATCTCCAATGATGGAGATTCCACAAACTCCCTAGGCAATTTATTCCAGTGCTTAACCACCCTGACAGTAAGGAAGTTTTTCCTAATGTCCAGCCTTAACCACCCTTGCTGCAGTTTAAGCCAATTGCTTCTTGACCTATCCACAGACAACAATTTTTCTCCCTCCTCCTTGTAACAACCTT